ATGTCAGCTTCGAATCATCTGGGGAAAAAATCATCACTTCCATCTCTTTATTTGATGAATAAAGAAAATAATATTTTTCTTTAGAAAAATGCCAAATTGAATTCCGCCGTTCTAATTGAAACACGAAGGTCCATAGAACAAGATCTCAGTTCAAAAATCAGAACTGTAAGAGAATATAGCGTCGGCTCATACACAGCGTCCATTCATCAATAGCGCCGGTAATCAGCAATCAACGCATAAACACATAAAATTATACATTCATATGCTACATTGATTAAATAAATCGAACTCGAAATAAAAGAGAAGAGAGGGAATAACAGATAAGTGAGGGTAGAAGGAATTGCGATGCCGAATCTGTTGGAAGCAGTAATTTTGGGGCTGAGGCTGGCTCATTTATATCCAGTAGTTGTAGAAAAGGTGGCTGCGCAAGGGTTTCAGAGACCCTAATTTCATAGGTTGAGTCACGTGTTCGCTGTCCCTCTCGCATGCTCCGGCATTCTCTCTTTGTCGATTTGTTTTTCGAAAATTGTAACCGAAGGACCCAGTCTAAATAATGTAATATTTGAATCCCTGCAGTTTATTTCTTTACATTTTAGCTTCTAATTATTCAAGTTTATGGTAATTGAGTATCTGATTATAGTGATTTTAAAATGTTTTAATGGACGTAGATTTTTAGATTCTTAAACTAAGAGCTATTTTTATTTAGGAGAAAGGGTCCCCTTAGTTAGTCTATGTTTGACAACCATTATTTGAAAAAACAAAGTTTTGAATAGTGATTTTTGGGAGAATGTGTGGTTAAAAAGTAGGAAATAGTTTTGAATTTACTTACAAAATATTTTATTGTGTGAATGTGTAGTTGAAAATGAGTATGTAGAAAAAAGAATTTTCAAATAATTGTTGTCAAATAGGGGCTTAATATCAGTTTTATTGGAAAGTGAATAATTTCTTATTTTCAATTGAAGACCAACGAAAAAAGTGAGAAAAAAAGGAAATTAGAAATCCAACCAACATCTTTCTTATCTTTCTTGTCAGATCGGGCTTACCACCTAGAGATGACAATGGGACGGGTTCGGGGCAGGGCACTCCCGTCCCACCCCGCCCCGCCACTCCCCCACCGAGTCCCGCCCCACCTTAGGCAGGGCAGGGCAGGGCGGGTTCGGGGCGCGGGTTTGCCCCGTTTATTTTTTTTTTCAAAAACTTCCAATTAACTATTTTTCATTTTTAATTTGTAGTTAACTATTATTTTTTTATTTTTCACGGGGCGGGTTTGAGGCGCTTCGGGGCGGGGCACCCCCTTCCCACCTTGCCCCACCAACCGGTCAGGGTAGGTTTTTTTCGCCCCATTCGGGGCGGGACAGGTTTTTTTTGCCATCACTACTACCACCCTATATTGCAATTAAAAAAAAAGTCAATAATCGCTCATCTAGGCTCTTAGTTTATATATTGTATTTATAGGGTAAACCAAAACTTAGAGTTGAATCAAGCAAAAAGAAAGAGATTTGGGCGTTAAAAAGGCTAAAAGGTGGAATATTTCAAGTCACTGCTAAGGCATTGAAAAGGAGATCTAGATGATGCAATGCGATTAGAAGTAACAATGAAAATGCGAAATGAGAGATCTGGGAGGTCGAAGAGGCGAAATGAAAAACCTGTGTCTAGTGTATGTGAGGAGATTAGTACATGGTATAAAGATTTTCACAAGACAAAGTGATACACTATTGGAAAGATAATTGAATTTGGAGTTCAACACCAAAAAAAAAAAATAGGATATCAATTCGGAGTTGTGAATCAAAAGTTATGCGCTTTCAAAATTTATAGACTAAACTTGCACAAAACGGTGGACTAAAAACACACATTAGGGGCTATGGTTGCAATGCATTTGGAGACCACATCGGATAAATTTTGGCACCAAATTTTGGCATGTTGTAGCAAGCGGCCGCAGCTAAGCATGGTATGGTTGCAGCACATTCCAACAGGGGCGAACGGTGAGGGGGCATGGGAGTCACTTGACCCCCCAACTTTTGAGGATTTTTTTGGGAAAACCTTGTTTAGTATGGATTAAAATCTAAATTTTAATTTAAATCTAAGTTAAATATTTATTTTAACTATATATTTTATGATATCCACCACTTTTTAACTTTTATTAAAATTTACTAAAAAAATTGATTTTAATCCTTACCAAATAAGGTCAAAATCATAATAAATTTGAGTGTTTTCTCTCACACTATCTCGTGACTCTCTCCCTCGCGTCTTTTACCAAAACCTATCCCTTTCAATTCTTCATAATTTGTATATAATTTTTCCACAAATTATCACATCTATTACAAATCTTCACTTCCCAATCAGATTTTCAACTAATTAGAATTTGAATTACATTTTTTGCTACCAATTTTCTCTAACACTACTGCAAAGTGATTGTAATTATGTCATTGTCGGTCTCGTCGGCCACTATAATTCTAGCATCGCCTTCACTCATTGAACCTTTAGAGAGAGTCAACTTAAGTTATTGTGTCTTTGAAAATTGAAATGTCACCAGTGCACCCCGCGATAACTTATAATTTCAATTTTTTTTGACCAAAATTTACGGTGATATAAAAAATGGGTTTGATTTACATTTAGGGCGTTTTTAATTGCAAGCATGGAATTTGGAGGGAAATAAAATAAGTTCTAAACAATTGAATTGTCTAAAACTTATTTACATGGAATTTATTAATTAAATGTGTTTGATTTGTTTAATTTTTAACTTAGAAAATGTTATACTTGTTCATCTTTTATTGGTGGGTAGATAAGATATGGGGTAGATGAGAGAGAGAATTGTTTGAAAAATAAATTTTACCCTCTAAAGAAAATATTTTTCTTGTTTTCAAGGAAAATATGGTCACGTGACCAAAATTAGGAAAATATTTTCCGTGAAAAAAATATTAATCAAACAGTACAAAAGTAGGAATTTGAATGGGAAAAAAAAGAAGATATTTTCCATGAAAATATTGGCAATCAACCAACCGCACATTTATAGTTTGTTTTTGTTTTGATTTTATGTTCAGAAATAATTTTTAAATTTTGTTAATTGAGTTGTGTTAAATTGATTTGGAATGAGTTGGAAATATTTTATGTTAAATGGAATGATTTTCGAATTGTGTGTATAGAATAGGTCTGGAATCATTCTGTCCAATTTAACTTATATTTATCAAATTGTGTTTATTTGAATTGATTATTAACATTGAATATTTGTTATATGCTTTTCTTTCATATTACTTGAATTGATTATTCATATCAAATACACTACAAATTCTTTGAATGTAAATATGCATTTTTTTTTGTAATTGGCAAAATATTAATGAAATGAATGTTCGAAATAAAATAAATGAAATGATAAACAAAATATTAGTAAAGAAATGTTCTTTAAAAATAAATCTTTGTTTGTTTGGGGTCAAATATTACGTTAGGACCCACCAAACTCCACATTGGTATGATATTGTTCGCTTCGGGCCTGGACCCTCACGAATTTGCTTTTGGATGCTACCCAAAAGGCCTCATACCAATGGAGTATTGTCATACACTTATAAACCCATCATATTTCCCATGTCTAGCCGATGTGTGACTTCTTTTACTCCCAACAATCTTCCCCTCAAACGAAGGACCACATCATTGTGGCCTCCACTCAAACGATAATCCATCAGCCAATCATCTTGTACCACCGTTATTGTCGTCGCCCTCGACCAAACGGGACCCGCCGCCTAACCACCATATATTTATGTCAGGAAGACTTTCGACACAAGGTACCTCAAACGTTGATAATTTATAGCAAGACACAATGCTAATTAGGGGGGACCTCCACCACGCTTTTCGCTGCATTTCTCTTGCTAAGTTTTTGGGCCATGGGCTCTGATACCAATATTAGGACTCGCCAAACTTTACATTTGTATGATATTGTTCGCTTTGAACCTGGGCCCTCACGAATTTGCTTTTGGATACTACCCAAAAGGCCTCATACCAATGGAGTATTGTCCTACACTTATAAACCCATCATATTTCCCAAGTCTAGCTGATGTGTGACTTCTTTTACTCCCAACATAAATCACTCAAAAATTATGAACAAAGCATTCGATCGGTACGTGTTTGATTGTGCCCTTGACTCAAATTTTTTGGGTTCGCCATTGCATCCTAACTGGGTTTGAGATTCCTATTTTTGTTTTCGAATTCAAGGGTACTTTGCTCAATTATTTTGCACAGCCTACTTCAAGGTCTATATGTCAACTAATGGGGAATTCCATAACACACAATAGAAAATCTTAGTGGAGAATTCCAACATAAATGACAAATTCTTGAGTGTAACATTACAAGAAATTCTGAGGCTTTGGATGATTTTGAAGAACAATTGGAACTCTATAGCTAGATTATGTCCAACTTTGAACTTTTGAGTTGAGATTTATTTTTTTTAATAGAAAACAAAAAGTAAATAATGTTCACTTGAAACTTCCAAACTAGAGGGTATAGTTAAATAATTAAACTTAAAACTAAAATGGTTTCTCCGCTACTCTCAAACTTCTTGAAATGTCGAGATTTAATTACGTTCTTTGTTTAAATTTAATCGAACATCATGATATTAAGATACCTGACAACAGTAGAAAATAAAGCATAGACCGCATCTAACAACACCATTCCATTTTCTCGACTTTATTCTAGATTCCAAATTGTTGTCAAGAAATCAAAATCTATTTAAGATTGGCCAAGTTAGCTAGTTGATCTCGATCTCTAGAATGTTAGCCATAAATACTATTGATTTTTTAACTCGCCATCAGAAATCTCAATTCAATACAATTAACTTTCCATTTGGTTATCAATTTATAAATGAAATCAAACATTAATTTTAACCATAAATTCATAATTACCGTCATTGTTTTCCATATATTTTGTGGGATCTACTACCATTCATCTTTATAAAACATTTATAAATTTGCCTAAGGAGGCTTAATCATACATTAGTGTATTAAAAAAAAGGGTCATACAATATTGTAGAGTTTGGAGTATTCAGTATCTTTGGTTACATTAAAATAACTAAGTACATGCAGCCATTGTTCCCATCTCTTTAACCTGTGAACTGCAACTGTATCTGGTATAAGCTGGTGTGAGCACCTTCCATTAGTTCCAGGATAGTCATACATTGCCGGCTTATTAGAAAATCTATTTTTGGCCTTGTTCCCATCATTCAGCCATTGCCCAACCATTTTATCTTCCGGTCCAAACGTATGATTCATAGGAATTTCAGAACTGCCAATCCATTCAACAAGATCCCAGGACAAAACAAAACCCATTCCGGACATGTAATGCACAAAGGGATTCATGCTAGGACATGGAATCACAAAACCATAGTACAAATCAAACCTGGATAATGGCTGCAGATACAATGCCAATGGCTCATGTCTTATGAAAACATCATCATCAGCCTTCATTACATAGTTGTATTGTCGGGATAGGATTCGACGGAGAGTGGAGAAATATTTGTATGTTTTGCCGCTATTCATATTTTCTGAACAATTAAGAATGATTATGTCGTTAAACCGCATAATCTCTAGTGCTACTAAGAGTCTTTGTTCTGGTTTTGTGAGATTGCAGAAAACAAACTTGACGTCGATCTTGGCTATGGAAGAGGATTGAGTTCCGTAGATGAGGCGGAGGAAGTGGCGACGGTCATAGTTGTCGGGGCGGGTTAAAACTCCAATCAGAAGGCTGAATTGTTGATGTGGAGAAGATGTGTTTGGGAATGTAATGGTAGTGTATGTGGGAGGTGAAAGAGGGGACTTGAAGCGGATGCTGAAGAATGGAAAGAAGAGAATAGCAAATGCAGATAATGTAGCTACAATTATTCTCTGTCTCAGCATTCTATGTGAAGTTTCTGTTCTATGATCATATGGAGTTCAAGAGAGAAAAGGCTGTAAATTTTTTTTTTCAGGCAAACCGACCAGATTTTAACTTTTTGTTTTTGTTTATTTTATATAGTTATCTACCCTTAGTGGAACGGAAATGAAACAAGGCACCTGAAGTTTATTCAGCCATGCTTTTGAATGTGAAAAAGCTAAAATTGGCCCCCAAGTCATGCTGGATAAAAATGCAGAAAGCAAGCCAAAAGGTGAACAAAATGTGACATCCTTGAATTGTTGAATGGGGATGGAGGTAGTCATGGAACCCGTGAACATCATAATAAAATTATAACTCCTAAAAAGCTAACTTAGTTGTTCACATTTTTAATTTAATGTGATAATTCATTATTTTAAAACTATTGCTTTGAATGTTTTGAAAGAAGGAAAAAAATTGTAGCTTTGATAGTAATTATATAATTTTTTGTTCATTATTTCCATTTTCATTCATTTAGCAGGTTTATATAAATGCTAAAATTCAGAAATTTTAATATGCCTCGACAAAATTCACCCATGTTTGGTGATTAAAATCAGATACCTAATATATTTTGATAAAAGTTAATGAAATATATGGCTGGAAAGCTGTGGACTTCAAGAACTATGCGATTAAAATAAATTGTTAACTTTGACTTATATTAAATCTGAATTTTAATCCCTACCAAATGAGGGCTAAACGTATTTTGCGCTTTCTTTTTTTCCATAAAACAAGTTGCACATATCCTTTCAAACTTTAATGAACTCAGGGCCATTTTACAGGGCTTTTGCTTCTTGTAGAAGAATTTTCCGAAAAATGCTAGCTTAAATCAATTTTTTTTCTAGGAGTTCTTATAACATGATAAAACGCTTTCAGAAAATTATTCAAAGGTAACTTTTGACTTTTTTAAAGTACTGCCAAATGGATCCTTAGTCTCCATGTTACCATGTTTCTAGACCATCTTGATTTGCGGGTTATACTAACAAGATGTTTAGAATCATGAGAGACATCACAAACTTTCTTATTTACTTGATTGTAGGTTATCAGGACATGGGGTTTCATATTAAAGACCAACCTTAAATACACGTGTAATCCAAATTCTTATATATTTTAAACTTATTTAATCTTTATTAGAAATGAGGTTTACCTCAAACAGAGGTGCCATAAATAGATTAATGATCCGTTAGGTAAGAATTTATGGATGGTTTAATTTATAAATAGATAGTATTGAGCGATGCTAAGTGAATGTTAATTTTAGGTTCATTGGATTGTATTGTTGACAGTACAAGTAATTTTTTGAATTTCTAGTTGGGCTCGTGAAAGCCCTAAATAGAAGTTTCGATGGGCTTCTGAAGGCCAGAACAAGAAAGGATCTTTTTTCTTTCACAAAGTTGACAACACAAAATGCCAATCCTCAACAAAGTACAACTCCACAATTAACAAGAAACGATTATACCAAAGCTCTGTTAAACGTGCAGCCAACAAGATTGCATTGGAACTTCAAATTTTAGTCACAAATTTTCACTATATAAACAGCTACTCTTGTAACAATAATCATCAGTACCCAATTAAGAAAAGTCAAATTTCAGTAAAAAGAAATTAATATGCCTTCTGATGAGCAGCTTCTTCTGTTGGATTTCTGGGTCAGTCCATTTTCCACGAGGGTGAAAATTGCACTAGCTGAGAAAGGGTTGTCGTATGAAATTCAAGAGGAAGACTTATTAGGAGGGAAGAGTGATTTGCTGTTCAAATCAAACCCTCTTTATGCTAAAGTTCCAGTGTTGCTTCACAATGGGAAACCCGTCGTTGAATCCACCAACATTGTGCATTATATCGACGAGACATGGCCATCGCCCCAATTGCTCCCCGCTTGCTCTTATGGAAGGTCTCGGGCTCGCTTTTGGGCTGATTTCATAGACAAGAAGGTTCGTTTACTCCATGCGAAGAACAAAACGTTCTTACACGCATGCACTCTATGCCTAGTTTTTGCATAAATAGGTTGAATGGTCTAGTCTAAAAACTTAGCTGTTGCATATGCTACAAACTTATTTATTTAAATTATCTATTGAACATAATCTATCACGAGTGTGCGCAATTTTTTAAATAGTTCTCACACGTTTATGTGCTCTAATACTATATCGAGTCATTTCCATGTTTCAGGTGTTCGATGCAGGCAGCAATATATGGAGGAGCAAAGGGGATGAGCTTGAGGCTGCCAAGAATGACTTCATTGATATTCTTAAGAAGCTGGAAGGAGCCATGGGGGTTAAGGACTACTTTGGGGGCGACGAATTTGGGTTTGTCGATGTTATTCTCATTGGCCTAACGACTTGGTTTTATGCATACGAGAAATATGGAGGATTCAAGATTGAGAAAGAGTGTCCTAAATTTGCAGCTTGGATTAATAGATGCAAGGAGAGAGACAGTGTTGCCAAAAACTATATTGATCCTCAAAAGGCCTACGAGTTTGTCGGCTTGTTAAGGGAGATGCATGGTGTTGAATAGCGAAATTACCAATGGCCAGTTAAGACTCAAAAGTGTGTTTTGTAATAATATGAGAAAAAATAAGTGAAAAACAATTATCTTCCTTTGTATGTACTCTTGTGCTTGAGGATAATAATTGCATGGAAATTTCGTCATGATTTGTAGTATTATAATCGGATTCCCTTTCTGCTTACATTTTGAGTGTGTTTTTTTTTAATTTTAATGCTGCAGAAGCGAAATTAACAAGTTAATTACTAAATTAATCTAATCAAACTTGAAGTAATTTGCTACATAAGAATGTTATTTTAAATTCAAGGAACTAGCGCATTAGATGTAGGGCATGGCCCTTTTCTTAGGCACATCGGCATGCCAAGTCTTGCTAAAGTATAATTATCACGAATGAAAATTCTCGATTAAAATCTATTCACCCCTTTTGTCAAGTCCTTCGATTCTAGGATCTTAAGTTACTCGAAGATTTCTTAAATTAAATTAGCCATAAATCATCTTTAGAAGTGCACGTGACACAATGGAATTAAGAAGTCCAACTTTAATTTTCAAGAACATTAGAGGCGTTTGGTTTACTGTTTTCAACTTTTAGTTTTGCAAAACACTGAAAACGTATTTGGTCAGATATTTTTGAAAATGCGTTTTCGAAAACAATGATAAACTTATAACATAAAACTCAAAATGCATTATTGACTTTTTGAATGCTTTCAGTGAAAATTCCGTACACACTCAAAACATGACAACGTTTAAATAAAATTTTAAAAAATAAAAATATAAAGTTCTAACAATTAAAATCAAAAAATAAAAAAAATTCTAAAAAATAAAAATCAAGAAAAATAAATTATAAAAATAAAAAATAAAATTATAAAACTTCTAAAAAATAAAATTAATAAACAATTAATAAAAATAGCTCAAGCTCTTAATGATTAGTTATATAAAAATTCTAAAAAAAAATATTTAAGTGAATATAGATAAAAAAAAAAAAAATTCTCAATTCACTCTTTTAATTCTTATTTTCATTTCATATAATTTAAACTCAATTTATTATTTATTATTTATTTTACTTTGAAGGGAGAAAAATATTGTAAGATTTATCAATTTTAAATATAATATCACATAAAAATGTATTTATATATAATTGTTTTATTTTTACTAAATAGTCAAATTTCATTGAATAAAACCTCATAAGTCAATTTTTTAAACTTTAAACCAAACGTGTTTTCTAATTTTTTGTTTTGAGAAATATTTTTTGAAAATGAGAAGCCAAACATATTTTTTGAAATCTTAAAATAGACTCTCAAAACAAAAAATTGAAAATGAATTTAAAAATGAAAATTAAAACACAAATCGAACGACCCTTAATAATCAGCAATCGACAATATGACAGTTAGTGATTTTGATTAAAATCATTATCTATTGCTAATTTAGATAGAATCACCGAAAGTGTTGCTATTGATGATCTCGACACACTTCATCAGCCATTATCGATGACAATAACTGTTGACCTTTGATTTTTATGGGGGTGACGAGACTAACAGATATCGATTCCTCTCACATCCATGCAAGCTTTTCTTCTACACATTTGGACAAATCATAAGTCACACGTAATTTTCTCTGGTAGTGGGAGAGGCGATCATGAGCACTTTGAAAATCAAGTCAGCTAAGGATAATGATAGGTTAGGTGAAAAACGTGCTAAAGATGTAAGCCACTAAGTAAAAATGGTCGAATCCGAAAGGGTATGTAAAGAGAGTAATGAAAGCAAGTTTATAGTTTTAGTGTATAAAGTCGCATTATCTTCAAATGGCACTAAGTGTGAGCTTTTATAGTAGAAGATGTTAAATATCGACCGTTGTATAAAAAGATGTGGCCTCATCTTGATGGTCGATGTGTCCTCTCTTAGGAGTCAATTCATCTATCATATGTTGGGTGGCATTTAATGTTTTTGAAAAGCATCCACCTTAGCACCTAGGCTCGACCTTCGATTTATAGACTAATGATTTGACCTTTAGACGCTTGATGTAGAAATGTCACATCAAGCGATCGTAGGAAGATCTTGTGCAACAGATTTCTTAAAGAAGTGAGGATGATGTTTTCTCTCGATGAAGAGGCTACTTTCCTTGGATTTATTCCTACATCGGCCTTAGCACCTTGCCTAGATCATGGAGGTCGGCTTGTACATGGCACCTCGATGAAAGTGGTTTATCATCTCAACTACCTTATATGTAATCTCACCTCGGCCAAGTAGGAGGATGACGAGAGTGTGGGCCTGGTTGGTTTGCCAGCTGACATCACGTGGTGGTGATATGAACCCTCATCAAGAAGAGGCATAATAATAGTTCCCAAATTCCATGTATAGATATTCATATAATGTTTGGACTTTCAGTGTAGGATGGAAGTGAATTCCTTGTTGAGGTGATATGTAGCATCTTACTTTCTTTTGACGAGGTGATAGTTGTATATTTGAACACAACAAAATAGTCCCACAGACAACGTCAATTTATTGGCCTCGATTTTTATAGTTGTGACATGGCCAACAGATCCCGATTCATCTCACGTCCACATATCCTTTTCTCCTACACACTTGGATAAATCAAAAGTTACACATGCCCTTCTTCGGTGGTGGGGAAGGTAGCTACGAGCACTCTGAAGATCAAATCAATTAAGGATAATGATAGATTGGGTGTGGGGCGTGCTAAAGAAGTAAGCCATTAAGTAAAAAAAGTTGGATCCAAGAAGGTACATAAATAGAGTAATAATAGCAAGTTTATAGTTTTAGTTTATAAAGTTGTATTACCTTCAAATGGTACTAAGTATGAACTTTTATAGTAGAAAAGATGAAATATTGACCCTTAGATATGAAGACACGTAGCCTCATCTTGATGATCGGGGCGTCACTTTATTTATTATAGATTGGGTGACATTTAATGTTTCTGAAAAGCAACCACCCTAGTTCCTAGGTTTGATCTTCAATTCATAGATTGACGATTTGACTTTTAGGCACCAAATGCAGAGATGTCACATCAATCAATTGTAAAAAGATCTTGTACATACGATCTCTTAGAAGAGGTGACAAGGGAGATACTTTTTTCTCAATGAAGAGGCTGGTTGCCTCGGATTTCTTCCTGCAGCAAGCATGACACCTTGCTTGGATCATGGAGGTTGGCCTATACATGGCACCTCGGCCTCGGCGTAAATGGTTCATCACCTCGACTACTTTATATGTGGCCTCATCTTGATCACGTAGGAGGATGACGTGGAGTGTGGGTCTAGTTGGTTTGTCAGTTGGTTGCCACATGGTGCTGATATGGAGCCTCATCAAGAAGATACGTAACAATATCGTTAGTGATGTTGTTGGAAATCAACGACAATGCTTCAAGTCACTTACTCTAGTCGTAAAATTTCAATGAATGGAATGGTAATCTTAATATACTGCAGCAATAAAAGATACAAAATGAAAATACAGTGGTATTAGACTTTCGAGAGGCCTAAATTTTCCCCGTTTGATACCATAATTTCTACCTATTTGAAAATAGAACTCCCTCCCCCTATTTATAGTAGGTTAGTGACTACCATTGATTTGTTGTGCAAGTGACCGCATAAGTGGCAAGGGTTCATCAACGGTCCCATTTCCTTCCCTTCAGATCAGATGTCCGAAATTGCAAGATATAAGATAAACACTAAGCTCACCGAGCCTTTAGCTTCCAAGGTAGAGACATCCCTTTTTTTGTTTAACAGGTTGACTACGTATATCGAGTCACCCTCAAGCCAAGGTGAATGTTGTCCCCTTCTCCCAAACGAAACCAAATAGTCTGAATTGAATTATCATGGCATAATCTTTCAATATAAATTATATCTTATAAAAATTTATTTGTTTAAGGTGTTAAAATATAATAATTAATATGTTGAATATTATAAAAAATATGAAATACCATATATAATTTCTCATATTATCTTAAATATCGTTTCTAAAATATGTTATTGCTTACTAAATGACATCTATAACAAAGATAAAAATCAATCGCTTACCTCATTTAACATTTTCTTCGATCAGGAACGGCAAAATATCATGCCTCGTCCCGTCAGGATATCAAAGGGGGATGAAGAACATGGTCTTTGTCCCGACAATTATTTTTTTATGTTTTTAAATTTAAATTATATACAAAATATAAAAAAAATAAACGAACAATGCAGTAAATGAAAATATTTTAATTACTAGCATATCTGCCTCTTGAAAATCCCAACGGGGAGGGAGATGGGGTGGTCGTTCTATCCGATTACCATCCCTATCTTTGCAGATGAGAAGGTAAGATGTGACCTGAAATTCATAAATACGACGATTCTTCTAATTATCTTATAAGCTTTCACAAATCTGACATTACAAGAAACATATTTTGTATGTCACATACATCGCATATGGATGGCTTGTTCCAAGCATGTCTCCTAGCTTCTGTCCATTAGGGGAACCTAATGTTTTGTATCATCTTCTAAAAGCATGTGGACATGATAAATCTCAGATTTGTGTTAAATGGATGTGTCCCACCCACGTACATAGACTTTATAATTCAAGTCTACCCAAAAAATAGGTGGCTTTGAAGTGTGACAAATCCTCATGTGAAAACAGACCCACCTAGTCGATATGTTTGGTGATTCTTTATATGTTAAAACCATTTTCTCATTGGCGAAAAATGCGATTTGTACGTAGAAATGTTTAAATATATAGTGAATTAACCAATAGAGGTTGCCTTAAAATCGTATTGCCCATGGCAAAGCTTGTGGTTTAGGGAAATTCAAACTAAACACGGACAAATTTGCTTCCTTTGCCCCGATCTCTTATAATTGGATCTATTTTATATTTCCATTTATAAACTTTAACTTTTAAAAAATCGTATTTCCATTTTTAAAAAAAATAATTTTGGGACAATCCAAGCAATTTTTTAATGATGTTTCTACGTCCATCCCCGGTGTAACATCAATATTTGTATCTAGCGTGCTAGATTGATTATATTATGTTTGG